TAAGCAGGAGACCTCGATGCCATCCTACTGGTAGAAAATGAGCCAATGAGAAGCAGGGGGTGTGATCTCATCATCAGCAAGAGCCAGGAGGGAAGCGTGTCCTCCAGCCCCAGCATCTGGCTTTATCCCTCCCTGAATTTTGGGTTTTGGACTGAACAGAGACATAAGCGAATATACTCGGGTAGGGGTGGGGATGGTGGGGATGAAGCAGACAAGAATCTTACAAGTGTTGGACTTTGGGGACTTTTTCGATCTCCAACTCTTTCAGACTAGTTTGGTATTAAATCTTACAAAATGAATGTGCATGCAGTATGTGCAGTGTACTGCGGGTAATATAAGAACAGTAACAATTTAAAAATCTCAATTCCTTTGCTATAAACTGTTTAAATATATTTGAGATCAGGCTAACATATAATAGAATAGCATATAACCAAGAGATGCCTAAGATTTTAGACACAGTGCAGATGAGTGCAATGCAAATGCTTCATGGGATCATGGTTGGAAGTGGTACTTACAGCTGGGCAGGGAAGAGGGTGCACCGAGCTAAGGCAAACACTGTATCTCCTTTTGCAATGCAGTGAAAACATAGCCTAACAGGACTCCTAGACACACATGCTGAAGGAAACTGTATAATAGAAGTAAGCATGTCATTATGGATCCTGAAAATTAAGTCAACTATGCTGGGCCACTGTCCATATTTGGTCAGCTGAAAAATAAGGTAAATGCAGTAGTTAGAATGGGTTTAGTACCAGTATGAAGGGACACTAACCAGGTAGCAGTTACAATAATGCCTGAGAAACTAGAAATAGAACCTTATGTAGAGGTGAAGTTAAAGACAGCATAAGGTTCCTTGTTCAAGAAATTAAGGATTCAGGGAAACAAATACCAAATTGAAGAAGTTCATGATAATAGGTCAGGAATAAGAATCTCCTTAACAAATGATGGAGATAGCTCAAAAAGTCAAAGGGAACCAATCAAACCAAAACCAAACCAATTGCCATCTACATGATTCTGACTCAGGGATTCCGCACAGGGATTCCAAGGCTGTAAATCTTTACAGTAGCCTCCTCTTTCTCCCTCAGAGCAGCTGCTGGATTTGAAGTGCCAACCACGTGGCTAGCAGTCCAATGTTTACCTGACAATGTCACCAAGGCTCCTTCAAAGAGAACCAGGGTGGTGCAGTATTTAAACCAAGAGTTTAAATACATAGCTATCAATATTACAAAAAATTCTTTTTAGAAAAGTATTTGGACACTAGTAAATATCTTCCTGGAAGCTAAAATAAGGTTACTCCAAAACTCAGCTATCGAGTAGATGGTGACTGATGGTACCCTATAGGGCAGGGTAGAACTGCCCTTGTGAATTTCCAAGACTGTAACTCTTTACAGGAGTAGGAAAACCTGTCTTTATCCCGAGAAGCAGCTGGTGGTTTCAAACCACAGACCCTGCAGTAAAAGCCTAATGAGTAACTGAAAGACTTTGAAGTTTAAAAATTTTAATGCGTAATAAAGATAACATGATTATCAAGACAACTGAACAACTTCTGCATTTAATATTCACTTTCAGTAAGAAAAGCAAATGTTTCTTCTTTTTTTTCTTCACTTT